AAAAGAAAAGAAAAACATTGTCTAATAAAGAAGAAAAAAGCAAAAACACAAATGAAAACAGAGAAACGGAAAAGAACAAAAGGGATGGAGGGGAAAGCTTGGTTGCACAGGTAATGACATCAACCTGTTAAGGAACTGACTGACCCAAATATATGGCCAGTCGAAATAAAACAGCCTAAAATAACTCAGAGGGAGAGCAGAAAAAAGGAGCACGAATCTTAAAACAAAAGTCAACGACCAAAAAGGCAATTGGGCGAAAATCGATTTTTAGGTGATTTATATATAGCTAAAGTGATGCAAGAAATATCCAAGTAAAAAATGTAAAATATATAAAGAAAAGCAAAGGCAAAAGCACATACAACAAAAAACATGCAATGTGTAACGGGTATACCTGGCCAAACCTCGGGTCGGGTCGGGATTCGGGTCGGGCCTAGCCAAGCCCGAGCCAAAAAACCTGGGCCCGAGCCCGGCCCGGCCCAGTCATCGGGCCTAGTTTTTGGGCCCAAGCCCGGCCCGAACATGCAAAAGCCCACCGGGCCTCGGGCCTCGGGCCGGGCCCTTTCAGAAAACTGCAAAAATGACGGGCCCGGGCCCGGCCCGGCCAGGCCACCGGGCTCAAAATCTAGGCCCGAGCCCGGCCCGCGAGCAGCGTCGGGCCGAGTCGGGTCAGGCTTTTTCGGGCCGGGCCGGGCTGCCCATGGCCAGGTCTAGTAACGGGCTTCAAGCCCAATAGGAAAAACGACTTACCACAAACAAGGGCAAGTCAAAATTTTAGTCTAAGAAAAAGTCAATTTACCCCAAACAATGGCAAGTCAAAATCTAAGCCACGAAATAATTCACTTACCCCAAACATGAGCAAATCAAAATTAGGCTAAGAAGCCATGAAACAACACAGGAAAAAAATAGCACAAATCTTGGAAAAAAACTTGACAATCAGAAAATTGGCTTATCCATATTTAATATAGTTTTGCTAAAGCACATCTAGATGTGCTCTAAGTATTGCACATCTAAGTCCTATGTCATTGATTTTACGTTAAGATTCATGCAAGCATTTTCTTTTATCTTTTGTCTTTTTCTTTCTATTTAATAATCATGTGACCTACATATAGCTAAAGTTTAATTAGACTGCCTTGAAAAGACCTTTATAAAGCACATTTCAACACAATTTTATTGACAAGTGTTATGATTCAAATAGTTTTCTTACCCCATCCTATCCACCTTTTGGTGCATGCATACATGCTGTCATTCAGGCTAAAAAAAACAGTATTTGCATCAGTGCACACCTCCTTTTGATCCTTTCCATCCTCCTCCTCTGACCCTCCCCCCTCTCTTTATAACTGAGCTCCCTTCACCTGGCTTCACACAACTGCAAGATAATCCAAAACCCCAGTGACACTACGCTGTTGTCCCAAAGCCCAAGGTGGCAGCATCAAGCAACTGAGCAGCAGCAGCAGCAGCAAAGCTGAGCTTGAAAGCTCCACTCCCACAGTAATGGAGTTCTTGTCGCAGATGTGGTCGCTCCTGGGCCTCCTCACCATCCTGCAGAACGTCCTCCCCACGCAGCTCCTCTCCCTCCTCCACTCGCTCTGGCAGTCGCTCCAGGACTCGCTCACGCCCTACTCCTACTTCGACGTGCCCGAGTTCCTCGGCTCCGCCGCCGTCGAGCCCAACGCGCTCTACCGCCACGTCCAGCTCTACCTCCACCGCTCCCTTCTCCTCTCCTCCCCTTCGCCTCCCCGCCTCACGCTCTCGCTGCCGCGCTCCGTCGCGGGCAATGCCGGCGCGGCCGCCGCGTCGCCGTCCGTGTCGCTGTCCCCGAACCACTCGGTGCCCGACGCCTTCAACGGCCACCGCGCCGTGTGGACGCACCACGCCGACACGCTCCAGGACTCGCTCGAGGAGCGCCGGTCCTTCTCGCTGCGCCTCCCCAAGAGGCACGCCGCGGCGGTGCTCCCGGCGTACCTGGCGCACCTCGCCGCCGCCGCGGACAGCCTGGAGCGCTCGTCGCGGGCGAGGAGGCTGCACACCAACGCCGCGTCTCCGCGCGGCTCGGCGTCGTGGTCGTCGGTGCCGTTCTGCCACCCGTCCACGTTCGAGACGCTCGCGCTGGACCCGGACCTCAAGGCGCGCCTCCTGGCCGACCTCACGGCGTTCGCCGACGGGAGGGAGTTCTACCGCCGGACTGGGAGGCCGTGGAAGCGCGGGTACCTCCTCCACGGCCCGCCTGGCTCCGGCAAGTCTTCGCTGATCGCCGCCATGGCGAACCACCTCCGGTACGACGTGTTCGACCTCGAGCTCACCCGCGTCACCACCAACGCCGACCTCCGCGCGCTCCTCATCCAGACGACCAACCGCTCGCTCATTGTCATCGAGGACATCGACTGCTCCCTCCACCTCACCGGCGACCGCGGCCTGGCCTCCACGAGGCGGCACAAGAGACGCCGCGCGGCCGCCTCCGATGACTCGTCCGACTCGGACGACGACGTCATGGGCGCCGACAACCACCGGGGGAAGGTGACCCTCTCCGGGCTGCTCAACTTCACCGACGGCCTGTGGTCGTGCTGCGGCGAGGAGCGCATCATCGTGTTCACGACGAACCACGTGGACGGCATCGACCCGGCGCTGCTGCGGCCGGGGAGGATGGACGTGCACGTGCGCCTGGGCCCGTGCGGCGCGCACGCCATGCGCGAGCTGGTGGAGCGGTACGTGGGCGCCGGCGTCGGCGACCAGGACATGCTCGACGCGGCGGAGGGCTGCATACGGGAGGGCGCGGAGATGACGCCGGCCGAGGTGGGCGAAGTGCTGCTGAGGAACAGAGACGAGCCGGAGACGGCGGTGACGGAGCTGGCGGGCGAGCTGAAGGCCAGGGTGAACGCGGCCGACGATCTCCAGTGGGAGGACTCGGCGGCGGAGCTCTCCGACGAGTCGCCGACGAAGAAAGGCAGGAAGGGGTTCGGCGGGTGGGAGGGCAAGGTCAGGATCTTGGGGAGGCTTCGGAGCCTCACCAAGTCGGACTCCGGCCGGAGAGGCGTGTAGCTCCGATCACGTCTGACGTGCGTTTTAGGTTAGGCAACAATGGAGCGCATCTTCACAAGTTTAATGTATTGGTTTGACGGTTTCTTGTAAGCTATAGTAGCCATGATCGACGGCTTCATGGCCGAGCAATATTCGAACCTCGCTCTGCGCGCGCACGTACCGGCGTACGGCACCGGACTGGACGGCTTATACTTGCCCAGCACGAGCCTCCCCTCCCCTCCCCTCCCATCCCACGTATACTTGAACCTCGCCCATACCTTCCTTCTCACGTAGCCTCGCTTACGGGAGCTGGCGCCGGTTGCACCATGACCGGCGACGAGCACGCCGGCAAGGCGCGTCCAGCCCGCGGGATTCGTTCCTTTCGAACCTGCAGAATTCTATGGATCTTCGTCGAAATATCACTGGGAATACTGGTGATCTTCAAGAACCTGTGGATTCGGCTACGGTTGGCAGAAGCACAGCTCACGCTGACGCCTCCCTCCGCCGGCGCCGCGGGCACGACGACCATGACGGCCGCGCGAGTAGCCGACATATTCGCCATGATCGACGTCCACGCCGCCGCGGGGACAATGAGCGGCAAGCTGGTCGAGGCAATATGCGCCATGATCAACGATGCCTGCCACGACGACGACGCAAAGGACTTGCATGGCCAGAAAGGGAGAAGGCGGCGCGAGCGCGACGCCTGCATCGGCAGCACCCGCTGCTACAAGCAGATGCGCAGGCTCGGCAAGGGCTCCAGCGGCCGCGTCGTCATGGCGCAGCACCGCGACACCGGCCAGACGGTCGCCCTCAAGACCATCCACGCGCGCGGCGGCGCGAGGCGCCCCAACGTCGGCGATCTGCTCAAGGAGGCCTGCGTCCTGGCGGCGTGCCGCGGGCACCCCAACCTCGTCGGCCTCCACGCCATCGTGCGCGACCCAGGCACCAGGCAGTACTGCCTCGTCATGGACTACGTCGGGCCCAGCCTGTTCCATGCTCTGGACAGGCACGTGGAAGAGCACGGCCGCGCGTTCCCGGAGGCCGACGTGCGCCGGGTCATGCGGCAGCTGCTCACGGGCGCCGCGGCGATGCACGAGCGCGGCGTCATTCACAGGGACATGAAGACTGCAAACATCCTCATCGGAGAAGACGGCGGCGTCGTGAAATTCTGCGACTACGGACTGGCGATGCCCACGGCCAAGGCAGAGCCGCCGTACGGGCTGGCCGGGACGATCCCCTACATGGCGCCCGAGATGCTGCTGGAGAAGCCGGAGTACGACGCGGCCGTCGACATGTGGTCGCTCGGGTGCGTCATGGCAGAGATGCTCTCCGGCGAGGAGTTGTTCAGCGGCGAAAAGACGACGGGGCAGGTCGGCAAGATATTCGATGTACTCGGTGCGCCGGGCAAGAAAACGTGGCAGCACTTCGAGTCCGCGCTCCGAGCTGACGAGGTGCGGCAATGGCGGGCACGGCAGCGAGAGGTGCGGCGCCACGACCGGCTGCGAGAGCTGTTCCCCGAGGAGCTGCTGTCATGGCACGGATACCATGTCTTGAAGGGCCTCCTTACCTGCAACCCCAGCAAGAGGCTGACAGCAGCCGCCGCGCTCCGGTGTCCCTGGTTCAAGGTCGACGGCCCTGGAACTGATGATGCTTCCGGTCACGGGATCGGCGGCACGGCATTAGCCAGGCACACTGCATAGAGAGGAGCAGCAATAGTTAGATGAATTCGCCACACCGGAAAAAAACAACTAAACTGACGAAAAACCAGCGAAGGAATAAATAAGAATGTATATGGCTTGTTTATTACGATCGGAAATGTACAAATATCATAACTCTACTGCAGTGGATTGTACGATCTAGGCGATTACTTCAATTAAAGTGTCATCAAAACGAATCACTTGCATGTGAAAAACGCAGAAGTAGATAACATAGTCACTTACATATGAAAAACTTTGTTCAAACTTCAAAGAGATAATCTAAGTCTTCTAACTTCGAATGAGTGGGTATACTGCAGACAGAGTAAATTTTTCCTTGACAGTACACAGAAAAAATGCTTGCAGAACCAGGTGTGGTATTTCATAAGATAACAAAAGCAACACTGTCACATATGGATTTGCTTACCATCGAGGGCAGTGGTGGCAGCATGGTCTGTTGCCTCCATCAGTTCTAGTCCAGGTGTCTGCAGCCTGAAATCACTCAGAAATAAATCTCAAAAAAGAACATCAAGAAACAGAAGCAAACCAAATCTGGCAATCCGATCTTATACCCATTCTTAACCACATTTGAACTGAAATTGACTAGTCTGCATTTAAAAATTAATGAGAACACACCACAGCTCAAACCAAAACATTTATGCCTGATAATAAGCAACTAGGCACAAAGCTAACATCATAGCTGGTGCAAAAAATAGCATAAGAACCACCGTTCAGTTGCCTGCCATGCTTTACAGAACATGATTAGGGTATCCTTCCATCCAAGGTTCCAATTATTTACCCTGTCAGGGTAACTCAAGTTTGAACAAAGACCGGTGGTAATAAGCACAGCGCACCAAAAGCACAATCAACGCTTCTTCGGTGCAGCAGATTTGGGAGGAGGCGCAGGAAAACCTGCAGTCTTTGGCGGCGACGACATCATCACCCTGTGCTTGTACATCTTCCACCAGTTCGCTGATGCCTCGTCGACAGTCCGGTAGGTCCAGAAGTGCGGCCTGGCCTTCTCCCGCGCCATGAGCATCTCCTCTACCTCTGCCTTCGACTTCGTCTTGAGCGTGAGACAGTCGACGAGATCGCGCCACTTGCTGGAGCAGTTGTCAAAAACCCCGTAGCGGTAATAGTTCTGCATCTGGTGGAATGGTGAGTAGCAGGACCATAGTGCATTGAAGTACTTTATGCAGTCCAGTCGTGATGGCGGACGGTTGGGGTTCTCTTCGGGCTCCATGCTTCTAACTGCCAACCAAGAAATGGATTTACATGTGAGACATAGCCGCATTCCTAGAACCACAAGAAAAACAGAAATACTGAAGGAATATGGATCAGAAGGAATGATGACTCTTCTAACCTTCCTTGCTGCTGCTGGCACAGAGGCTTGGGGTAGAAGAGGACGAGCTAGAGCTACTGGACAAGCCCTATTTCAACAGAGGTATCAGATTTGGAAGGAGTAGGTGTGGCTAAGCACAAGTGAGCATACATACAAATAATATTATAAGCTATCCAAACATAGTGTTACAAAATTAAATTTCTGAATAAGTTTAAACAAAATAAACTATGAAGCACATATTCTCACAAGATTCACTAGTTAGTACTCCCTCCGTCCCAAAATAAGTGACTCAACTTTTGGGACGGAGGGAGTAGGTAATTACTAAGCACAAGTGGCACAGATAGGACTGCATCAGGGGTCAGCTTTGAGCCCTTATCTTTTTGCCTTGGTGATGGATGAGGTCACAAGGGATATACAAGGAGATATCCCATGGTGTATGCTCTTTGCGGATGATGTGGTGCTAGTTGACGATAGTCGGACAAGGGTAAATAGGAAGTTAGAGTTATGGAGACAAACCTTGGAATCGAAAGGGTTTAGGCTCAGTAGAACCAAAACCGAGTACATGATGTGCGGTTTCAGTACTACTAGGTGTGAGGAGGAGGAGGTTAGCCTTGATGGGCAGGTGGTGCCTCAGAAGGACACCTTTCGATATTTGGGGTCAATGATGCAGGAGGATGGGGGTATTGATAAAGATGTGAACCATCGAATCAAAGCCGGATGGATGAAGTGGCGCCAAGCTTCTGGCATTCTCTATGACAAGAGAGTGCCACAAAAGCTAAAAGGCAAGTTCTACAGGACGGCAGTTCGACCCGCAATGTTGTATGGTGCTGAGTGTTGGCCGGCTAAAAGGCGACATGTACAACAATTAGGTGTGGCGGAGATGCGTATGTTGAGATGGATGTGTGGCCACACGAAGAAGGATCGAGTCCGGAATGATGATATACGAGAGAGTTGGGGTAGCACCAATTGAAGAGAAGCTTGTCCAGCATCGTCTGAGATGGTTTGGGCATATTCAGCGCAGGCCTCCAGAAGCTCCAGTGCATAGCGGACGGCTAAACCGTGCGGAGAATGTCAAGAGAGGTCGGGGTAGACCGAATTTGACATGGGAGGAGTCCGTTAAGAGAGACCAGAAGGATTGGAGTATCACCAAAGAACTAGCTATGGAAAGGGATGCGTGGAAGCATGCTATCCATGTGCCAGAGCCATCAGTTGGTCGCGACTCGCGAGATCTTATGGGTTTCACATCTAACCTACCCCAACTTGTTTGGGACTAAAGGCTTTGTTGTTGGTGTTGTTGGTGTTGTTGTTGTTGTTGTTGTTGTTGTTGTTGTTGTAAGGATCACTTTCTAGCAAGCTTATCCTTCAACCATTCTCCATTTAGCTTTCTTGTAGTGTTCTTGAATCTTGATGGGTACTAAAATGGACCACAGCATGATACTACACATATTTCGGGAAAGATCGGCCATGATGGAAATATGAGGGCAATCTTAATAATGCATGACACTGAATGCTCAGATTATTATACTGAGGGCACTTCCAGTGCATCGTATCTTAAGCTGTATCCAACAGCATAAAATAGGTGTTAGATACAGCTTTCCTAGCGGAATGTATGTTAGTGTTGTATCTAAAGTTGCTGCCATCTAAATGTTTTGTGATCAAAACTATTGTTTTAATCTTGTAGCCTGTTTGCGTCAACGCTAGATAGGAGGAAGATGCAGACTTTGTGCTTCCGGTGTCCTGGCATGTATATGCTACAGCTGTTGTACAAATTTTCTGCAATAATTGACATAAGCTCCAGTACAGTTTGTGCAGTAGATACTAGATAGACTAAAGCTCTAGTACAAATTTGTGAAAGTAACAACTGAAGAGGGAAAACAAGCTTCATAGTTCAACAAAAACAACCTGGGAGTTGAGTAGAGCCCAACATCAGTACTCCCTCTGTAAAGAAATATAAGACTTTTTAGATCACTACTTTAGTAATATAAAAAATCTTATATTTCTTTACAGAGGGAGTACAACGGAAGAGATTAAACAAGATTCAGAGTTCAATATTTTCAAGTTTCAGAATTTGGGGTTCATGAGCAAGACCATACATACCAGTGAACTAAATCGGCATGCACTTTACTTAGTTCAAATGATAAAAAATGTGGTCTGTGTTAGCCTAGACGAGAAACAGCATTTAAAGACTGCTTCACTCTTCACATCTATTTTCCTTATGATGTTCTGAAACTATATAGAATGGTAAACAAACAGAATCATGTCTGGGTATCCATGTGAAATAATTGGCTGGCTTACTTAATTAGACTTCTTAGTAAAAAAGGATTGGGGGAAGCCTAAAATAGAAGACTACACACAGTGCAAATTTTTTGACAGTGGACAAAGATGGAGACGAAATAACGATGATCCATTGGAACTAAAAAAAGAACCACTGGAAAACTAAGAACAGAGAATGACGGACACATGGCACTGATTCGTAATATAACAGAACCCATGGAATTAACCATACAAAAATCAAGCACTCGATATGGCTGATTCTGTATAGATGCTGCACTTATTCGGTCCTCATTCCCATACCGGTGCCGAGGTACTCCGGGAATCTAGTAGCTACCTGGGGTGAGGAGCGAGGAGGGGAAGTCACAGCGGCTGGAGTGTTGTGGGCGGTGAGGAGGGTGCGTGACAGCCAGATCTGAGGGCGTGGATGGATCGCACAGGATCAGGAACCACTTGCCTACGATATGGTCCTTTGGTGGCAGACTCTAGAAACTATGGAAACTGATGAGACCATGATGCTAATTAGTAATCAATTTGAATCTAAGCAACTATCCCCTCGACCACCGCACATAAATCACCATTCTCATCTGTACAGATCTGAAGTTCTGAACAAGATTACAACACACTTTTGCCTGCTAGTATGTTTACAGTCAGGAATGAACAGTCCGATCTATCATCTTAGCCTCAGACGCTGTACCTCGTGGAGAATGGCATAGGTAGGTTTGTGGAGTTGTACTTGTCAGAGGAGAAGGTGGTAAAGGGGCAGCGCCTCCAACGGAAAGACGGGAGACTGAGTGGCTGCTCCAACGAAGGTCCTAAAGGAGGCTACTCGTGTTCCCTTACAACCTTTAGGTCTCATTTGGCAAGAAGGGTCTTCAAGCCCCTAGAGGATTGGGGATTAGAGGGGATTTGGTGATCCCCTCCCTTACACCCCATCCCCTCAATTCCCCTCGCATCCTCAATCCCCTTCTTACAAAAAGAACTTGTTTGGTAGGCAGGGTTTGTTATTCTAAGATAAGATAGTGCAAAATAGCAGTACTACAGTTAAAAATCCAATCTTTACAACTTAAATAGCTCTAGTGGCGAGCTTTAGAAAGACCGGATATTAAACAAGGTAATGTAACTCTGTCTCATGTATTTGCAGAATGCAGAAGCTATTATTTATATCAAATCTCCTAATAAGCAGTGCTCAATAACCATGGAAACCCATCTCAGATGCTGAATAAACCATGGTCAACGAGAATTGTATTTTTATGTAATCCTCAAGCTAAATTAATCAAACTGAATAATTAGCAGAACTAAAGTCGAAGGGAAGCTAAGCTTATGTGATTGCATGTCCACTTTTAAGCCACAAATTACCAGTGCGAAGCAATGTCAAATACGGAGTCTATCATCAGTTGACAGAATAGAACTACTAGGCTAGAAAGCTGAAGAAGTTTGGGGGAATTCTGACTGATAAAGATAAGATGCCATGCAGTATGAGCTAAGACTGTCCAAATACTTGCTCGTCTCTGCTTAACCAAGAACTAGGTTCCATCAAGTACTACTAATAAAATTAATCTCTAGATAAGAAGATCCTTCACAAAGAAAGAAAGAAAGAAAGAAAGAAAGAAAGAGGGGGGCAATGGTGGAACCAAACAGATCAGCAGATGCCAAGAACGCTACCACTGCCGTGAGAAAGAAGAAGCTACCCAAGACATAGGAGGAGAAGCTATCGGAGGGCGGCAGAAGCAGAGCGGCCGCGCATCACCACCAGCGCGCCGTCAAAGCAAACAAATCAAGAAGGTGAGGACGGCGGCCGTGGCGGGGCTCGGCGGTGGCGGTGCGTACGCTATCCTACTGGACGGGGTGGGAAGGAGAGGGGAAGACTCGGAATTACCGGCTAGTTTGCCGGAGGAGGGACGCCGGCGTGGATGAGCCGGCGGCGGCGCGTCGAGGAGGCTGCGTAAGTCTCGTGATTTTTTTCCGTTCCTCTCGACCCTTTTTCCTCGAGGATCGCGGGAACGGGGCCGTTGGGCTCTCTGGACAATCTTGATGCGCCGGCCCAACAAGGACGCAGTGTAGAACGTTTCCTTTACGCACGTACGTTCTTTTTTTTTTTGAACTTTAAAACCCCACTTTATTAGACTATACTCATATTAGGGATCTCGTCTTCCCTCCAAAAAAAATATTAGGGATCTTCGTCTGAAACAGTGCTGAGAATACAATCTAGAGGAACTATGTCCCAATAAACCGAAACACTAGAACTAACACCTAACTTTGCCAACAAATGGGGAGCGCCATTAGCCGTCCTCCGGACCCAGGTTAGCCTGAAATCATCTCTAGTTCTGATCATGGCTTTAACCTCTTCAACCACTTGTCCTACAGGCGACAGATTCCTCTCCTTACCTTCTAGCATTCCAGCAACCACCTGCGAGTCTGTTTCCAAGTGCAGCTTCTATATGTCTCTCTGTATGGCTAGTTGAATCGCCTTTTTGCATGCCAGAAGCTCAGCCATATCCGACTTGGAGCAATCCGAGAAGAAGTGGGATGCAGCTCCCCTGAAAGCTCCATCTTCGTCCCTGAAAATCACGCCCCCATCACCGCTCCAACCGGACCTAGCCATAGCCCCATCAATATTAGCTTTCACC